TTGTGCCGACTAAACTGACTTGAACGCACCTGACGTCGTAATTACGACTTGTCAACTCGTAAGTACGAACGTCCAGGTGGACTTGAACGCAGCATTATTACACAATCAAACCACAGAACTCCATTAATTTAACTCATACACGCTTTATTACTGCTGGACAAGTCCAGATTAACCATAAAATCATTCTCCCAGATGGCACAGGTACGTCTGCAGGAGGTCTGTTAAAGATCGCTTCATCTGGAAAGCATCTGCTGTGTATAGCATTCTAAATCATAAACATCTTAAAGACATCTTCTACACGTCTATTTGACATCTGATAGGAATCGTCCTATAGACGTATAGCAGATGAGCAAACACTCTAATACAGGGTTCCTCAATTAGTTTTCGCCGAATTCTGACAACAATACCAAGCCAAGGGCCACTGACCTATATATATATATGTATATGTATATGTATATATATATGTATATGTATATCATTTACATCTGCAAGACGTATTTTTTAGAGTGTTTGCTCATCTGCAATACATCTATAGGACGTTTCCTATCAGATGTCAAATAGACGTTTAGAAGATGTCTTTAAGATGTGTATGTAAAACTGACATCTTAAAGACGTCTGTCAGATGTTTGTACACAGCAGATGATTTCCAGATGAAGCGATCTTTAACAGACATCTTGCAGACGTACCTGTGCTATCCTGGGCAGGGAGCTGTCTCTTTTAGGTGATTAATACTGACATCAGACAAATTCCTGATGTCCTCTTTAGGGCCAGTGTCCCCTGATGGGCCCGTGTGTGTGTGTGTGTGTGTGTGTGTGTGTATGTGTGTGCGCGCAGTATTCCTATGGGGTCCTCACAAACAGAGCTGGGTCCCTGATATCACACGTACATCACGGAGAACCCCAGTTTGGGAAACCTTGACGTAATGTAACGTTTAATGCACTTCATGTTGTTAATTACAATGAATGGAATAGTTTTCTTACTCGTTATATCAATGTCCTATTTAAGTGAATGTGAAAAACAAGTTAGGTCAAAAGTAATCTAAAAGTAGTCTGATTACCTAAAATGTGTAATGATTGCGTTACTAACTACAATTGTTGTCATGTAATTTGGAATCAGTAACGGACTACAATTTGCTCTCGGGTTATGTTTAGACACAACATGAAAGACTGATCTAACGCACAGCTTTCAGTGAGTTATTATATTGGTGTTGTGTACATATATATAAAAATATGTGATGAGTGTGTGTGTGTACACTGATGATCTTTCTAGAATGCCTAATTTCGGCCATCGGGAGGAAAACTACAGGTCCCAGCATGCAGCGCGGTGAGCGTCACCCGCGCCAGAACCGGAAGAGCTCTGTTAGCATTCGGCTAAAAACACAGGCAGCTCCATTGGAAGATTGATCAAAAATAACCTCAGTCGGACTCTCTAATCGATTACAGGTGAATGATCGAGGATCAGCACGCGACTGCAGACTCTCGTCGATTGGAAAACACGCGATGGATGACAGTAAAGTGCGTCATATTCACATTTATGAACATCCCTTTGACTTATAGACAGTGCAGCTCATGATCAGCTGCATTCAAGGGATTCCAGTTCATCAGCATCTAAAGCAGCTATTGTAATACAATGATTAATGGACATGTGCCATGATTTTCAGTGAAATACCTCGGGGTAGCATGTTAATATCACTGAATCGTGGTATACATGAAAATACCATGGTAATCATCATTTTACCACGGTACCGACAAAGTACTTATGCGATTTTTATTAAACATTTATTTATGTACGATGCACATTCTTTCAAAGCAGCTTCGCAGTAATAAACGGGAAAATAACAGGTAATGAATCAGTAAAATTAATCAGTTATAATACAAATTCAATTTCAGCCTTGAAGCAGCTCTAAAAAAAAAAAGACAATAATGTCATTATTCATATCAATTCCGCTCAGCTTGGTTTGAATTTAGTTTTAATTAGTATAAATTATGAAACTAATTCATGTTTAGTTTAGAAAGCAGCTCTATAGAGCCATTCAGATCAATACAAGTGTCAATATTGTAAAATTCATTATTTATGAAGCATAAGTTCGATGCTGATCCTGACCACCTGTAATTTTGTCTTCTGTTTTTGATTGTTTACAGCAATTGTTTATTTATGTGGCATGATCATCACATCCCTGACAGCACACGTACATCTCAGAGACATCTATTTTACATCTGCAAGATGTACCGTGAAACCGGTATAATTTTGAAAAATACCGTGATATAAATTTTTGGTCATACCGCCCAGCACTAGAATGCATGTAAAACTGACATCCTAGAGATGTCTGTCAGACGTTTGTCATGTTTCCAGACATCTTGCAGACGTACCTGTGCTATCTGGAATGAGCGTTTGACCGTAAAGTCTCTTCTGATCTGTAGATGGTTGCTGGAAAAGTGAAGAAACCCGGCAAACGCGGCCGCAAACCTGCCAAGATTGACCTGAAGGCCAAGCTGGAGCGAAGCCGGCAGAGCGCCAGAGAGTGTCGCGCCAGAAAGAAGCTGCGCTACCAGTATCTGGAGGAGCTGGTGTCCAGTAAGGAGAGAGCCATCTGCGCGCTGCGCGAGGAGCTGGACATGGTAAACACTAGGGTTGGGTACCGAACTCTGTACTTTTAAGTAGGGCTGCACGATTAATCGAATGCGATTGTCATGCGCATTTTGTTAAAAAAGCCGGTTCTGTAATCAGCAGGAAATCATCATCACGTGCTTTCAGATGGAGCAGCATTTACTACACATAGC